CAGCATCCTCATTCCAGAACCCGACTGTGAGTTCGATACTCAGGTTGTTGACGCGTATTGCAAGTCTACTGAACGTGAATGTCCCACGCATGGCAGCAGAAATCCGTCAAGGCACAGGTGGAACCAAGCGAAAGCGAGCGTCAACTGCCCGGACAAAAGCAGTCATCGAAACCTGAGCCACATCACTGTGGGAACCGAAAGAGGCTTTGTTCAAATTTGCACGTTTCGTTCTTCTTGGGGTCTTGGAGGGGGTCACCAGGTCAAGATAATAACCCTCTCTTCCAACCTCTGCACCACTGTATTTTCCAGACATTCCACGCCGGGCGCCATTGACTCGATTCAGTCAACCGTCCATCCCATTGCTGTCGCAGCCGCTGCCAGGCCCAACATGCACGCTGCGTTCATGCGCAAGCATGCGCCAGGCCTCGTGAAACCCTCCGAGGTTTGTCCGCCTAGCCAGCGGAAAAACCTCAGCTGGGGGAAGCGGTGGAAGGCTGGGATGGACGCCAGAGAGTGAGATTTGGTGTTTTCACGGTCACTTCCTTTTGAGGCTTGCCACGCTCCAGAATTGCTGAGCAACAAGGCGCGCTACAGTTCATGTGGAAGGATTTATATAATACAATTTTTTTGGTGGGGTGCTGTGCTTGTGCGCAGCAATTGTGTGACAACATTACATGGGTGAATTTTTGCTTCTGGCAGGACAGGATTCTTGGCGCACGCGACGCATGGCAACACGGCCGTGCCGGAGCCTGAGGCTTTGATGGTTAAAAGCTATAGAGCGCAAATTGCTTTGCCACGTCAAGGTGTTCACGCGCTTTTGACTGGGACCGCAAACGGGACACCCAGTCTTGGAGCGATTTGTCAAGCTACGTGGTTTGGTGTAATGTTGTTTGGTGTAAACGGTGGCTTGGCGTAAATGATGGTTGGTGTAAACCGTGGTTTGGTGTGAACGGTGGTTGGTGTAAACCGCGGCTTGATGTACACGGTGGTTGGTGCAAACCGTGATTCAAATGCCGTTGAAGCCATGAAAAAATGCTGCGAATCGGCGAAACCCAGGCAAATCACAGGCGACGAACCTGCAGAATGACGACGACGACGACGACGATGAAGACGAGTACGAAGACGACTACGAAGACGAGGGGGTGACAGGGGGCCAGGGGGGTGAAGTTAGTCGACGCAAAACTCCGCACGGATTAGCATAAACAAAAAACATCTTAGACAATAGCAAACAAAAAGACAAGTACAAAAACATCCACAAGACACCCTGGCAGGCCGGCGGATTAGTGAAACGTCAATATGATGCAGCACGAATCAAAAAAACATCGAGGTTGTTGCTCAAGCCGCCGGGCTAGGTCGAATTGCAGATGTTGCAGACTGCATGACCTTGAAACTGTGGTTTATCTAGGAGAGATTGTGCTGGGAACGGCCTTCGTGAATGATAACTAGTAACATCACTTATGTTCATTGGACTGTTGGAATCCTGGTTTCCCCCATTCATTCCTCACTTCGCCGGAGTGCCCTCCTTGGTCAGGTGAACGCGTCGCGTGCCAGTGGGTCTTGCCGGTCCTCCGCCGACAAGCGAGGGGAGCCAAAAGTGACATTGGGTAACATGGAACAATGTTCTTGCAGGATCAACCGATTTCTTGCAAAAGGAAATTCTTGGGACGACACATGAACAACAACTCCTTGATGGGGCTCAACTTTGCTGATAGAGACAATTGCTAAGCATCGATGGCAGAGTTCGCGGCAGGACCACGAAACCCTCTGGACTGAGCAATGAAAAGCTCAGTTTTAAAGTGAAGATTAAACACAAAACCACAAATCAGTGTTAGTCTGTCTGTTTTTGGGCCCTGTTTATTGTTGTGCCAGAGCTGTTGCTTTGGGTTGTTGGTGATACAAGAGATGTGATAGAAAGGATCCAAACCGCCCTGATATTTCAATTGAAAAGAACAAATCCATGACTTGGGAATAGATGGATGCTGGTTAAAACTAAACGCCCCAAAACATGGGATTGGCAAGCATTCCATGAGAGTCCATATTTTTGGGACGTCGAACCAACATCTAGTGGAATGATTCAATCGGCAGTGGACACATCACATATACTGGAAGAACCACACGTGGAAGCGGAGGAAACACTTTGTAGAGAACAAGCACCCTCCTTCCAACAAACATGGAAGTGACACATGGCCCCTTCAAGAACACTGCTTTTATTTACAAACCACGCCGTTTTCGACTTCCATCCTTTTTTATTTTTTTTTCGAGAACAGGTTATTAGTTTTTTCCAAATCAAACAATTCATATCTCCACTTCCGTTTTTCTAGCGGCTAGGGCGGCTAGTTCTTTTTCGAGTGCCACTCACCGCCCTGGGGCGGAAAATTCAGGTTTTAGTCCAGTTCTGGGTTTTTTCTGTTTTACCGAAAATACCATGTTTTACAGAAAATCTTATTTACAAGTGATTCAGGGAAGATCTTGGGCTTTGGTTCGGGGCGATTTGGACGTTTGACTCAGCTGATCGCGACTTTTGATCGCTCGAGACCGAGCGAATGACTCGCTGCCAACCTTCCTTAACTGCTAAACGCAGCTGGGGCATTTGTAGTGTAGATATGCTTGGATTTGCTGAAGGATCTCGATCCTTTGTACCAAAAGCTGATATATAGGCTTATGCTTTTGGCAAATCCGCGTATGAGGGTTGGTCGTTGCCAAGGGTCAGGAGGTCCGAATCGGAGGAAAGTGGCTACGCTTCCACGCTTTGGAGTTCAGTCGGAGGTTCCTCGAACAATTGGCGAGTAGGAGATTGAACACGATCCATCGTATCTCTTTGTTGTGGACTATGACTAGGTGGGGTAAGAATGTAAGAGTCTGGGGATTCTCTGGGAAACATATTACGACATTTTTCGACATTCCAGTTAGTCATGCAGTAATGCATGTATTCTAGGTTGATCATGGTTGATCAGGGTTTCGACCCACATCCATATTCGAGAGCTTGGGGTAGGTGTGAAGAGCTGTATGAGTTCCAAAAGGTTTTGAGGAAAGCTCCGTCCTGCAGACATTGTTTAGCTTGACGCATGAAATCCGTTCGGATGCAGCTGAATGATGCTGAATGAGTTCCTGACTTCCTGGGGATGTCCGTAGAATGGGACCAGACTCAGACAACCAGACAAGCCCACCTTTTTTTGGGGCTTCAGAAGGGAACAGTCAACTTGACCAACTGGGTGGCCCTCAAAGGTGGACCGAGCGATTGGCTCGACCGGGATGCAGCGAACCATCATGGTTCTAGCAACGGCAGGCTTGCTGCGGCCTTCATTTTCACCAGATTCCGCCAGAAACACCCAAAAACGGGCCCTGAGGCATCTGGCCATGACCGGCCCTCGTAGTTCGACGCAGCTCAGAGAGCTCTCGCTGCGCCATTTTCCCGCCTTCCCAGATCCCCAGGCGCGGCCGCCGAACGGCGGGCTCCTCGACGCCCGGGGATGTTGCGGCCATGTTGGACTCCTGTGCGAACCACCTTCCAGGGTTGCTTCTCTCCGCTGAACATGAAGCCTTTAGAACTTCCTGGGACTTATGAAGCCCTGTTTCATATCTCCGTTCCAGTTTGGCATGACTTGGTATCTCGCGCTTAGGCACAGAGGAGTTGGTTTTGTTAGTGTTGTTTCTCGGCTGGTAGTCTGGGTTGAAGCGTTCACTCATTCTAAGATGCGCTGGGAAAACTGTAGCCGCTGTAGCCACTGCTAGTTTAGAAGACACAGCTTGTCGTAGGGGTTTGGCATGAAGTCAGCATCTCATTGGAGCTGACTCTGAAATTCAATCTACTTCTCCGCCTTGGGGGCCAAGAACGATACCTGCCTACGCTGTGCATAAACCGTTCCTGTTTATGTTCAAGTGGATGTTTGACATTGTTCAACGGTTCTTGCACTGATGCAGGATTTTTCCATGCTGTTTCTGAATCACTCAGAAGACCAACAAATTGACCTGGATGAGGACCTGCCTACTTCCAAAAGCCTGGCAAGTTGCCGTCACGGAGCTCATGGATTTCAAGCGCCCGCGACCGGTGCGATGGTCTGGCGCGACCTGTGATGGTCTGGATGAGAAAAATATTCGCTGATGGCCGTGTGCTTCGCATGAAGCTTTCACAGACGGAAGATTGGAATGATTGGAGAGCCGCCACTTGGAGAACCGCCGTGTCCAAGTGAAGTTGTGGGGTTGGGTCTCAGGCTCGAGTCGATCATCCAAGCCGAGGTTATTTTGGGCCTTTGTGCCTTAGCTTCCCAAAGCAGGTCCCACTTGGGGGTCTTCAAACGGGATCAGTTTTTTTTCCTTCAGAGATTGAACGTGCACACCTACTCGTGAGGAGTGGCCTAATTATGTCAGATCCATTCGTTTCTCTTCGAGCGGCCATTGCTTTCAAACGTTGACATGCTAACGCATGCTAATAGAGTCTAAATCTGGACTGACTTTGCTGCCAGTTAGCTTCAGCTCAGCATGGAAGGCCCGGCCAAACGCGCATTGGCATTGGCACATTTTTCCAACAAACCATCCACATTGGCTCAGTGAGCATCCAATCCTCTAAGTAAATGTTTGCATTTGTTCACTTGATGGTGAACCCCAAACGCTTTTGACTAAAGAAAACACCCTTCCGTTCATTTAAGGATCTCCTGTAAAGGCTTTAGTTGTCTTAGGCAAGACAACTCATGGTGTTCCGGCGAAAAACACACACACACACACCGCAAGAATGCAGTTTTCAATTCAGCTACATGCTGCACACGGCAAAGAAACATCCATACCAGAAAAGTGTCGGAAGTCAAATGAGACGCCCTCGTAAACTGCGTCAGTTGAATCAACCCAGCCGTCAGTTGATGAAAGACTTAAAGCTAAGGCATCTAAGTGCAAGTAGACATGAGTGTCCTTGCTTCAAACTGTTTTAATCAATCCACCCACATCGGCTCCAATGTTCAAGCCACCCAACAGCTGCCGCTTTTCCGTGGCGGTGGAAGCACCGCACCATGTCCTTGGCCTTTGGGTGGCAAGCGCCTTTTAAGCGGCTAAAGACCGCACCACAGGTGCATCAGGCCGGGTGTGCCAGTGGTGCGCTCTTTTGTCGAATCTCTTGTGCCCGGGGTTTGTCATGGTGGTGGTGGCGGGGTGGCGGTGGTGGTGGTGGTGGCGATCCCTTTCTTCCTCAGGGGGGTTAAACATCATCCACAGCTAGGATACGGGGATCCAACTGCTCCAAACTGACTTGAATAGTCCTGATTGTTAATTATTTCTTCTTGAAGGCATCGTGGGAGTTCACTCTTCCAAAAGAACAATTTATCTTGGCCAGAAGGTTGCTTTTGGGAGGAACGTACTGCGAGTTGAACACGGAACATCAACCAACGCGCGTACGCAGAGGAGGGTATTATTTCTTACTCAGCTGGTTTCAATGCTTGTTTGCGCAGATGCATCATTTGGAAGTGGGGCACATACTGGGTACGTGGGTTAAGTCGTCTGGTCTTGTAGAAAGTCGTTTGGATGCTGCGTTTACAATGGGGTTATATAGATGAGTTAGATGCAAGATGGCAATATAACTGGAAGAGTGTCAGGTCAACAACATTTGTTTGGATGCTGCGTTTACATTCGGTTTAGGTGCAAGATGTCAATATGATTGGTGTTTTAACTTAAAACGGGTGACTTTTCGCAAACCGGGTGACTTCTGACAAATGCTGCGTTTACATGCGGCCGGGTGACTTTTTGCAAACCGCGGTGACTAAACCCCGACGCATGTAGTATACCTATGTATACATGTTATAGTGTTTCTGGTTCACACAAAGCCTCCATGTACAGCGCATGGAAGTTAGTTGCGCATGAAACCACACACACAATCCATGTGAAACCTTCCTACATGGCAAGTCAAGTAGATGCAGTAGATTTATCACGCATGATTGACGAATCTGTTTACTTCTCAACCCCAAGGGCTGGAGGCGGATGGAGGCAGTGTCTCCAAAGGATCTGCTGGGCTTCCGGAAGGAGCCTCGTTCCTTCACACTGCGAGCTCGTTCGGAGGAGCTGGGCTCTGCCTTCGCCGCCTGCGAGGAGGAGATTGAGGATGAACTCCTCGAGCCCAACCTGCGCCTCGGCGAGAAGTGTGTTGTGATGTGCCGTTAGAACAAGCGCCTGGAACTCACAAGTGACCTGTTTTGAAAAGATGGATGGTTGGCACTTCAAGACACTGGGTCCGAGGACAGGTTGGGTCCTAGGTAGCGTGACAAGCGAAGGGATGCAGATGAGAGATTCTGTTTGTTTTTGGCCTGGGAGTGGGAGTTTCATGGATTTTCCAATTCATGATCCAGGTTTGGGTGTCAGTGCTTGCATCGGTGTGTGCACCTAAACGACAGGTTGCAGGGAATCTTCCCAAAGACACTGATATGGGAGTGGAATGTCACCCCGTGGAACACTGCTGGGAATACATTCCATCTAAGTAATTATTGGTGGTCAATCTTTTCATTCTTTGGTGAGCTTTTTCTCCCAAAACCTTGCCACGCACAAGAAAAGGACGTCCGCCCACGGGATCTGAGGACTGCCAACATCACTGGACAGTTGGAGGATGCTGAGCTGAAAAGAAAGAGGCTGGAAGGAAATCAAGGGTGAGATGAAAGCATATCAAACTTAGCAGATCCACGTCTAAGGCTTGCCAGACATCACACTGGCTGCATTTGGATGCCTTTGACAATGGAAGGGCAACCAAAGTAGATTCCAATTCACCCATCAGCAAGCTTGTTCTTCGGGTATGTGTTGGGGACACAGGATGGGTCACGTTTCCTACAAATTGTGGGGATTGGGGTATTGCTTCGCACTTCGGGGGGACTTCTAAGCCCACCCAGGAAGAAGTGAGGGCAGGCTGTTGGTGGGTTGAACCATTTTGTGGGGGAACGGATAATGTCACATCCATCTATGTTGGTGTGCCAAAAAGCATGGGGGTTTGACCCACACGCATCTATGCTGGCAAAAAGCAAATCACATTGGAATGGATACAGCAGCATGCAGCACGACCCCTGGGAAACGATGCATGGCGGAAGACCAAACAGACATCCGCACGTAAGTTGGAGGCTTGCTCACACCTCGCGTTGGGGGAAGTTCTTCTTTTGCACCTGGGCGATCGGGCCCGCCTTCGAAGGAGTTCTCATCTTGGACCATCGGACCAGTTCTGGGACCAGTTCTAGGACCCATTTTTGAAGCGGTTGATCCATGTTGATCCCCCCTCTCACGCCCTCGCGGCTTCGACCCCATGGGCCAGTCTGCTGACCTCCCGGACGCCTCGGCCAGGCTTCGCTCCGAGGGGAGCGTCTTGGCGCAGGCGGAGCGCTATGCAGAGGCGGAGCAGTCGTGGGCGGAGCAGTCGTGGGGAGATGCTTGAACGGCTTGCGAAGACTCAAGCAGTCATTGACTTGACTTTGACTTGACTTCATGTTTCTCTAGATGTCTTTCACTTCCCCCAAGAGGTACACCTCATTGATTTCTGGTGTGTTATATAACTATATACGTAACTGCTTTCCAACCTTCTTGGTGCCCGGCTAAGCAGAGAGAGAGAGAGAGAAACTGAGTCACAGCACACCTGCTGCTCAGGCACTGCAGCACTGGGAGGAAGCTTTGCTCTTCACTGATGATCCTTGTGAGAAGGCGCCCATATTGGAGCTTCTTGGCCAACAGGGTGATGGGATAGGATAGGAGGGCGTTGTAAGGGGTTTGGTGTGGGAGGTTTGTCGATTGCTCAGCTGTTGCTTTTGCGAGAATGCTTCGGCCGTCAGATAGCTCACCCTTTTTGATCTGCTCAGTCTCCAATGAGTCTTTCCCCACTACCCATGGCAGGGCCAAAGTCGGCTTGAGCATCACCGAGGCAGATGGCTCAAGTCTTGCTGATCCTGGAGCGTCCCTTCGATGCCATTAGGACAGCTCCGAGCCCGCCCATGTGGCAAGAGGTGGTTTCTCCAAGACTTTGCGAAGGGCGGGGAACGACGAGAGAACTGGGCCGGCCCGAAATCCACTTTATTCCCGATGGCTTTTACCCAGCTCTCCCTTGGCTTTTGAGAAGATTCCATGGTAAGGAGAGTTCACCCTTAGTTTAAGCGATCCGAGAGCTCGGTCAATTGCATCCATCGGAAGTTTCTACCTTATGGTCTCTTCTCAGTGGATTATATATTAGATTATATAGTTTTTTCCCGAATGCGTAGCGAAGGGTTCCCGTTTATAGTTGGGGGTCTGGGGGTTGGAGCTGTGTTTGCATGGCTTGCGTCGTGTCGTCGTTTGTCGTCGTTTGTCGTCGTCTGTCGTCGTCGTCGCGTCTCAAATTTGCTGCCATTGGGGGAAGCTTTTGCAAGTGACTTTGCATGGACGTGTCACGTGTCAGTTTGCGCCGCTATTCCATTGGGATTTGCATGACAAGGACATGTCGCGCAAGAAACGTGATGCATTTCACTGCACAGGCGCAGCGTTTTGTGAGATCTGCAGTTTGCTGCGCAGTTCCATTGAGATTAACGTTTGGAGAGTCGTGTTTTTGGGGTGTTGGATGTGGCCGTGCCATTGGGATTTGCGTTTCAGGGTGTGGCAGCGAAGCTCGGTTTTCGTGACAAGTC